CGTACACCGGAGTTGGAGTCGAGTGCTGGAATGAAAGCCATCTGGTTTCTAACATACCTACGCTCATTCATTCCCAAATTGTTGAAGCGTTATGCTTACCAAAATGTGCGACAGATTCCTACACCATATGTGAAATCGATCTCTACTCCTGGACCGCCTGAAGCTATCTTTCGCCAGTAACAACGTTTGGTTCAGTGAGGGCTTCGTTCCTTAGCATGCATACCTGCGTTGTGAGCCCCATCCAGTCGAGCACAAGAAAAGCTCTTGAAGTCATATACTCGCTTAATCTGGTTTCTCTTCCATGATCATTGCTTTCACAAATATTGCACTGGGTTTGACTGATTTGGCACTGCGAGTTTTAGACGTTGCAAGTAGAATCTCTGTTGTTGGTAGCCAAGATAGAATAGTTGTCGGTGCAGTAACTATTTGGTTAACAAATTGTGATCATTCCCTCACCAATTCCCGGAGAATAGCAACTCTAGGATGGTTTTTATAGAAAATGCGACCGATATGATTAATCTTAGGAATGTCACCGGATGCTACTCTGTTACGGAGATTTCGCATTCACGGGCAACAGTCAAGGTCGTTGTGCCCTATCCGCGTGTCGCTGGCGTTAGTCACCTCTCCTTCCATACTCAACTGGGGATCTACATGCTATCACGTCTTAATTTCCTCGCATGCTGATATTGAACATATTCCTACGATTGTGTGTAAGTTAGTGACAAATAATATCCACTAAGGTTCAGGAGTTATTCATTACAGTCATCGAGGTCTGCAGCGCCACGTTGGTCTTATAACCACTGGAGCGACGAACTGTTGGGGCCAGATTTTCGATGCTCACTCAGTTCACACTTTTGTCGGTTCTGATACAAACTTATCTGTGATGAAGTCGGCAACACTCTTTTCGGAGCTGATAGTTTTTCTTTTATTGATTGATACAAAACGGTAGCTATACCATCTTATTTTATCACTCTATGGTAGTAACAAACTTGATTGTGCCCTGAATTTATCTTACAGTTGGTCATAGACAAAAGTAGCCAGCGAAAACCGAGATATATTTCCCATTGCATGTCTCACCCTTCTAATAGGTCAACTGAAATCCGATGTTTTTAACGGCATATGCCGGTCAATTTACCTGGGTTACAGTAATACTTCGACTTCTTTTATCTTGGAAGTCTTAGTCGAAAATAAGGTCTCATTCATTCACCCATTCACTGAACTAACGGGGACAAATGACCACGTTCGTTTCGTTCTTTCATATGAACTCGACTTTGTTCACCGATATGGTGTGGTACGCAGTTATTTTGTCGACCAATGGCGTACAAGGTCGGGGCACGTGGATTTGTGATCAACGAATCGCTACAATCGTCTGTCTGGCTATCAGCTTCGCCAGCCAACCGATGCGCAAAAGACCGATCGATCGTCGCCTGTCGTTCCTGTGGGTTTGCGCGAACCGTGCGGCCTTATGAAACCCACAACGAAATTGGCATTTCTGTTTTCTTGTCGGTTTGTGTTGGACGCATTCATCTGTGATCATGAGTGGTCGTGGTAAAGGAGGTAAAACACGTACCAAGGCGAAAAGTCGATCAGCTCGTGCCGGATTGCAATTTCCGGTGGGTCGTGTACATCGATTACTGCGCAAGGGCAATTATGCAGAACGTGTTGGTGCCGGGGCGCCGGTCTACTTGGCTGCAGTACTAGAATATTTGGCCGCCGAAGTGCTTGAATTGGCTGGGAACGCGGCGCGAGACAATAAGAAAACCCGTATTATTCCTCGACATCTGCAATTGGCCATCCGAAATGATGAAGAATTGAACAAGCTTCTCGGTGGAGTAACCATAGCTCAAGGTGGTGTTCTGCCCAACATTCAGGCGGTTTTGCTTCCGAAGAAGGCAGAAAAACCGAAAGCCTGATCGGATACTGTTTTCAGTTTTTGATTTCTTTTTGTACTGTGCCCATTTCCGTCTATATGCATTCACACGTGAGCACACTTGTCTCTGGGTTCCGATACACCTGTGAGTCTTCTTTTGGTTCTTTTATCTCTCGCCTCATTTCTTTTTTAAGCTCTCATTTACTGTTTGTTCATTCGCATCATACTACTGAAATAAATGGGAGAAAAACCCATCATTTTTGTTCTCTTCACGCGATTACTGTGCTGTAATATGGTCCCTGAAGAATAATCTGATTTGTGAATATGGGTCATTTCAGTAATCTGCCGATGTTGAGGAAGCTGTGAGTAAAATGCAAATATCTCACACTCACTTTAAGGGGTAAATATATTTGTTCTATTCAGTGGTAAATTACCTCTGCATTCTTCAATTTTATCGATTGGGTTCTCTATAAAAGCATCCCTTACTGGAGAATACTATGTTCCGTGACACTGGACGATAAACGACTGATGTCATAGGAACCAAAAACGAAGATCGATTCGTCAGTTGTTTATGGAATAACCAATCTGGTGGCCTCAACTGCTGTTCACAAAGCTGTTGTAATTGGATACATATGTTTCATTCCTTTTTAGGTTGTCTCTTGGCTTCACTTCATCTGTTTTATACCTGATAAATCACGTTTGAATTCCGATAGAGAGTATGACAAACTATGGGGGCATGGGTATGTCCGTGCATCCTATTAGATGAATCATTAACTCGATTCATGATAGTGCAACATTGAATCTCCATAGGCGCTGCGTGTATGTTGGCAAAATCGTTAAAGTAGTGACGCAATCAGACATCCATAAACCGGATTTTTTATCTGACTGACGAGTGGGACACGAGTTTTAATTTAAAAATACCATACCAGCAGGCATTATAAAGCTGATAAATTCTATGAAGACACTAGCGGAGTTGCGCGTTTGAATTATGTTAGTATATATGCGGATTTTTGTCAAATCACACACCGCTACAGTTGTGTATCAAATCGCCACACTTATCAGAAGAAAGCGATCTCTTATCAGGAGCCGAATCTGAAAGTTTAGTCATGGTCGTCCTACCCAAACACATCTCATCGTCTGCAGAAAGCCCGTCCTGATGGGGTCCGGGGAATGGACTCAGTTACCTGTCGTATTGAACTGACATTGTTTTACTCACCGGGAATCGAATGTATTTTGCGGCTATGAGACCAGTTTCATTTTATGACACTATTTCGTCAGCGTTGGGTGCTTTAAGTAATTGACAGCAATCAATAACCAAATCAGAACTAACCGTGTGTTTGAGGGTGTTGTACTATTCGGAATATTCTTGTTCATTCGTTTCGTACTGTGCATACGTCGGTCACAGAACAGAAGTAATCCCATTCATGTGATGATCTGCAGGTGCACTATCATTCGACTAAAACTCTTATGTGGTTCGCGACTCCAAGTCCCAGGTCTTGGGTGTCCATTTATCATGGATGAACACGGCTTACCTCGTCTGCTCTTCATCACAAAATGGTGGGTAATAAAAATTACCTCCATTTCTTGCGCGCTCTTTGACTGTATCTCGGGGATACGAATCACATCCGCTCAGAGCTTGTGTGTCTGAGTATCATCTCATATGGCCGAGTTTCCGTGATAGTTCATGATAGCTTCTAGTTGACCGTGACTACACTGGTCAAATGGGTTTGTTCATTTACCACATCTGGGCCAAGTGGGGGTAAAAATAAGTTTATTTTAGGTTAGGATTATTAACTCTTTATCCAGTTGAACATGATTTACCGAAGCGTATTACTTTTTATAATGTGCTAACTAACCAATTATTCATGGAGGTAGATAATAAAGTCGATCGCTAATGGATTCAAATATGCATTGGAATGAGAAACAGGTGTTTCGGGTGATACGTGCCTCAGCTATCTGCATCAGTGTTCATGCAACCGCTGTTAGTGATTGCTGGAAGGCTTATTATGTCTTCGATACGACTGATACAGAAAACCTTTGTAGAGTGTGTCCCAATTAGAGTAACGACGCTGTGCATGTGTGTTCTGTTCCCCGTTTTCTCGTTTCCGTTTTGTCGGGAATAGTTCATTTTTTCTGAATGTACTAAGTTACGGTCAAAATTCAGAATCAGTACACTTATTGTGATATCAGTTTGACTGAGATGCTATGTTGCAAAGCGCCAAATGCCTTTCGTTTGCTTTTCTATCTCTCTGCTGACCTAGTTTCACCTCGGTCGGCCGGCTCTCGTTTTCGCTCTTAGGTTTGCTACATCTATGCTTGCTGGTGCGCCTTTCACACTGGTCGCGGTCCAATTAGAGCATTGTTCAAACACTTTAAGATGCGTTTATTGAACCCAAAACAGAGAATTACATCAGTCTCTGTGGAAAAACCGACACATCCGTACCCGTGAAAGGTTCAAATAATCATTTAGACCTGTAATTGATGAGGTTTGATCGCTTGCGTTTTTCCACAATAGCATTTCGTGGAGTCCAGCGTTTTCTCTAAACGAAGGACAGGGATAACCTAAAATCTGATTCCCCTGGTCAACAAGTAATGGAGTTGAAAATAATAAAAACCTGTATCAATAATGCTGATAATCAAGGGTTTCCAATGACAGTGAACAGAAAATGAAATGCCCCTATATTGGAGCCATACTGCGGTACAGCTAACGCACACACGTTGTGATCTCTTTTTTTACCAAAATGCGGTCTACGGTTTGGTCGAAATAGAGTGCACGCATTGGTGATTGGATTGAATGCAACCTTCGTTTACCCCTCTGTCGTGGCCTGCAGTCGAGTGATGTGCCCATCACGTGAATGACCGTTGCGGCCCACCACCACGCACGTACGCACCTCATGCGGACTTACTCTGTTACAAGGTCAATCCGCCTCAGCGAATCAGAGGTCAGTATTGACCTGTTCGCATTGATTGGTTCATTGGCTGTCCAACGTGATGACATACTCCTTTTGGTAACACTTGCGCCAGTTTGTGCCTGACTGTCTGCGTGTTGACGCACCGCTTGCCCACCGGCTTACGGACCCGTTACGTTTGCATTCACATACTGGAAATGGAATAATTACTAAGTTCACTACCTGCGTACTTAGTGACTTATACGGGATACAACACCCTCCGTCACAGCGAACTGAACTTTGCAAAACTACTCTATAGGTAATTTAAGGAATAACGAATAAACAAAAGGACAGTATACTTTCCTAAAAATATACCAATAATTACCATGTTCCACACAAGTCCCTGAATGTGACCAACAAGTTTCAATACAAGTAAGGCATACCACGCGTGCCTCAATAATCTATTGTATATAACTTACAAACACGCCGTAAAATGATGATGATGACTGGAGCTCACATTTCAGTCAAAAGATCATACACGCCAACCGTCACAAAGTACGTAAACAACGGGGAGAAAATTTTAATAGACATGGACACATTTCATAATCCTAGGTTAGGACAAAGTTCACTTATTGAAACTTCGCTTTTCGTACTCTTCCTCTCTTTTTGGATAACTATCCGGTTCTGAAGCCCGTGTACTAAGAGTGAATTGGAACCAAAAAATATACTGTTGTATCAATGTGTCCATTTTACCGGAAGGCCGCTACAGTTGGTTCCTACCACATTCACAGGAATCCTTCATTCAGTATGTTGGTTATTTATAGATCATGAAAAAATTCGCAAACTGGGAAAAAAGCAATAAGAATTTTTGACTCCTGGTATGAAGCTTACAACTGAGAAGTAAGCCGATGTAGTAGTGAAAAAATAGGTATATGTATTTCACGTACACCTGCCTAAGAGCACAAGATGGGTCATTGTCCCAACTGCGGCAGTCGCGATTGAAATGAGTTAGTCTCAATGTGCATACATTGTTCTCAAATGACCGCTGTTCGCCCGACAGGCCTCGGCATTTCCACCACACAATCATGTGCAGAATACTTTCGACCGGCTTATTGAATGGGTAGTTTCCTGGGATCTGGTTTTAGGCATACGGCATTTCCCGAATATCGTCGATTGTAAATTCAAAGCCGATCAAATTTGCACAATGGAATTAATTACTTTCAATTGTAAAGTATTTATTGTTCATCTATGAACTTCATCTTACTCTTCTTTTGATCGGAGTATCAGCCATGATTAGCAGATACTACATACTCGGATGAACAACTCGGTTGGCTAACTTCGTACATGATGTGGATCGATGGATTTCAGGAAAGAACGTGAACCGAATTCGATGATCGGACCGAGCCGAAGAACCTCTACAGCGATCTGCGTTGCAGGTTAGTGAATGTTTAGTGACTCGATGGTTGCTGATATTCGTCAGAACCTGTCACTAATGTTTACTCACGTCCGTGTTGAATATTCGTCCCA